GCCATACATTGGCCCTATACTACTACACTAGAGGGATAGGCCTAAGCTAGCTTGCTTGGCCTCCTTGCCGGAGAAATACTACAATTGCACACTCTCATCACACATATACTGTTGATAAAAAAAACAAAAACAATACCATTTTCTTGGTCTTCTAGTTCATTTGCTGCCTCCAATTCTTTGAGAATTTCATCATCTAACTCATCTTATAATTCATAAAAGTCGATAGCATCAGTCATGTCATCCATATTTTCAGCACGATCTCGAAAGTCGTAACTTGGCTTCTTGTTGCCCCGAGTGATTTGTTGTGGCTTGGTTGTTGACAGATACTGGCGCATGCGCGGTTACCGATTACAGCTTATCTATTGTTAATTACGGTTACGTAACTGGTGAGATATGACGATCGCGGCGAGGAGGTCTGTACCTTTGATCCTCTGTCGATGGTACTCCTTCTTAATATTTCCTCCATGGTGTAGGTATACTTGGTGAAGAGCAAGAGATTTAGGGACGGTTACTCCACTAATGATAATTAATATGTTTGTACTCCGTTCCACACTTGAATTATACTTAAAGAAACATAAGCGGTTGTATTGCACTTTTATCGATTACAGCTTAGTGTTTGACCTGGTTGACCGATTATCTCTATAGAGTAAACTAATATTATGTGGTATAAATGGTAAAGTCATTAATGTCTTTTATAATTTGTCTGCTAACACGAAGTCATGTGTCAAACAGATTGGTGTGATATCCAAATTTTTCCCATGTAATGTTGGAGTGCACCAATGAAAAATTTATCTCCATTTTTATTTGCTATTTATCTTAACGACTTCGAATTTTTTTTGTTAGTCGTTATTATAAAAGTTTGGATCACATAGCTAATGAATTTAATAATATTTTAAGTGATGATGGTGTATGCAGATGATACAATTATTATGTCCGAAAGTCACTCAGAAAAGTATTAAGTATGATTACTGCGATATGTGGAAGCTCACAGTCAATACGAGTAAAACAAAAGTTATAATTTTTCCAGAGGTAGGGTTCGAAACACTCCATTTTTTTATGTTTGGAGATGAACAATTTGAAATTGTAGAAGGTTATGTCTATTTAGACACATTTAATTTTAATGGAAAATGTAACAAACCCATTGATAAGCAAGTAATACAGGCAAAAAGAGCTATGCACAACATATTAACTAAAGCTACACAATTAAGTCTACCGTTAGACATTCAGTGTGAACTGTTTGACCAGCTTGTTTTGTCTATATAAGTATATGGTTGCCAAGTCTGGAGATTCCAAAAACAAGATCAAATCGGGGGTTTTTTTTAGACAATTTCTTAAGCATATCCTCAAACTTAAAATGTTCACTGCTAATTGCATGTTTCTTGGTAAAGTGGGCAGGGGAAATATCGAATTAATAGTAGAGAAAAGAATGTTAACTTTCTAGGTGCGTGTCATTGATAGTACAAAAAGTAAACTGTCAAACATTATGTTCAGATTGTTAAAAAAATTACACGACCAGGGTTTATACCTGTCAAAATGGACTAGTAAAATAAAAACACTCTTAACAAATGTGGCATGCCCCATGTGGAATGACTATGATCAAGAAAAAGCCATCGCTAAGAGGAGTAATGCAGAAAGCGTATTCGGACGGTAAGAAGGCGGTATTTAAAAATGGTAACCTGTACATAAATGGGAAACTGTATCATGATCAATAACGTAACATGACTGACTAACGTAACATTTAATGTAACGGAACGTACGGAAATATGTTCTGTTCAGTCGTTCTAATCACGATACTTCCGTACCGTCTGCAATTATTTTATTGTTGGTGAATTTATTTATTTTTCCGTATCTTTTGAGTCGGATTGCTCCATGATTATACTTGTTTGTTTATCTTTATTGTGATCATTATCATTATTATTATTATTATTATTATTATTAATATTACAGTATTATTATTATTGTTATTATTATTATTATTATTATTATTACTGTCATTATTATTTGGATATTACAATTTTTATTGATTTGTTGACCTTTTATTGCTCTTTTTATTTTTCTTAAACAATTATACATGATGTCATTTTCTGATGATATTGATGATGTTAATTACTACAGTACTGAATCTACAAAATATTACTGCACAGAAGACTTCATATCTAATTTTAATATGCCTACTTTATGTACAGGAAACAATTTTTTCTAATTTTCATTTGAATTGTCGCAGCATTGTAAACAAATTTGATGCTATTTCCAATTTTATATTCTCACTAAATTTTAATTTTTCAGTTATTGCTCTAACAGAAACATGGCTTTCAAATAATGATCTAGAAGGGTTATATCAATTAGCCAATTATTCATTTATTCATAAAGATAGGCAATTGAAAAAAGGAGGTGGAGTTGCATTTTATATATCTGAAAGCCTATGTTACAAATCACGTGATGATCTATCGGCAAAAATTACGAATGCTGAATCATTTTTTATTGAGATTAATATTAAAAATAATAAATCAGTCATATGTGGGGTTATTTACAGACCACCTGAATTAGGAATGAGGGCTACTGTAATATAAATCCTACGTGCATAAAAACAGGCATATTAATATCAGATATTTCTGACCATTTCTCCATATTTTGCATCAATAAATCTGAAAAATATAAAAAACAGAACAAAATATATATATATATAAACGTAAATTTTCAATACAACATTCTGAACGTTTTGAACATGAGATGAGCGGGCACCGATGGGAAAACGTATTGAATAGTAATGATGCGAATACGGCATACCAACTATTCGCCAATACTTTAACTGCGACAATCGACAGGTGTTTCCCATTAATAAAAGTGAAGATTAGGGCAGACCGAATAAAATCGCCATGGATAACTGAAGGTATAGCTTTATCAATCTCCACTAAAGACAAATTATACAGAAAATATAAGAAAACCCCAACAGACAATAATAAAGTAAAGTACACAATATACCGAAATAAATTAACATCCACAATTATAATGCGAAAGAAACAATATTATTTTGATCTATTTGAAAAACATAAACACAATATAAAAGAAACTTGGAACATTATAAATGAGATTCTTGGGAGTAAACGTAAAAATACTCTATCAAAAGAATTTAAATTTGGACAAAATGAATTAAAAGAACCAAAGCTAAAGGCTGAAACATTTAATTCTTATTTTATCAACATCGGACAAAATTTAGCTAATACATTCAATAATGACAATACGCCAAGTGAAAATCCAAAGTCCTTTCTAACCGGTAACTATGTAAACTCAATGTTTTTTAGACCAGTAACTGAAAATGATATTCACGTTTATGTTAATAATATGAAAACTAACGTATCACCGTGTCATGATGGAATAAATTCTAATTACATTAAGCCTGTATCTCATACTATTATAAAACCACTTACTCATATTATTAACGTATCTTTGATGACTGGTTGTTTTCCTAACCAATTAAAAATTGCAAAAGTTATACCTATATATAAGAATGGAGAGGTGAAGGATATTTGTAACTATCGTCCGATTTCAGTATTACCATGTATATCAAAATTGTATGAGAGAGTTGTATATGATCAAACTATGTGTTATCTAAACAAATTTACAATTTGAAACAAATCTCAATATGGTTTTCGAAAAAATCATTCGACTTGTCAAGCATTACTTCAGACTGTAGAACATATTACAAATGCTATCGAAAATAAGTGCTTTACAATTGGTGTATTTCTAGATCTGTCAAAAGCCTTTGACTCGGTAAATCACTCAATCCTATTGGAAAAACTTAAATATTATGGTTTTAGAGGCATAACATTGAAATGGTTTAAAGACTATCTAAGTAATAGACAACAGTACACCGTAGTAAATGGATGTTCATCAGCAAGAAAGGAACTAAGATGTGGCGTTCCACAAGGCTCGATATTGGGCCCCCTGCTATTTTTGCTGTATGTAAACGATCTTATGTATTCATGTAAAAAAATAGAGATGATCATGTTTGCAGACGAGACAAATGTTTTCTTTAAGCATAATGATTTGCAAGAGGCTTTTCAAATATTAAACAATGAGCTTGTATTACTTTCTAAATGGTTCAATGCAAATCAGCTTAAGATAAATGAAAGTAAAACAAGCTATGTTATATTTAAGAGTAAATATAAGAGTATTGACAATGCAAATTTAAAACTTACTATTAACTGTGTCGAAATTATACGTACAAATCAAACAAAATTTCTAGGAGTCTATCTTGATGATGTATTGTCCTATGATTGCCATATAAATACGATTGCAACTAAGATATCAAAGGTAGTTGGTGCCCTCAACAAATTAAAACACACATTGCCCCATGATATTTTACTTAAAATTTATAATGCTCTAATCCTTCAACATTTGACATATTCAATTTCATCATGGGGTTCTGCGAGTTCTACCAAATTAAACCGACTTCATATTCTTCAAAAAAAGGCATTACGGGCTATATTTAATGTACATTATCAACACCCATCCTTACCTCTCTTCAAACAAGCTAAACTTCTGAACATTTATGACCTGTATGAACAAAATGTAGCAATTTTTATGTTTAAATTTTTTTTTAATTACTTACCAGCTACCTTTGATACACTTTTTAACCATTTTGAAAATATTCATGAATATAATACAAGAAATAAAAATGATATGTATATAGCAATAAAAAAATCTCAGTTTGGTCAGGAAAGTATATCATACCAAGGGTCAAAGATATGGAATAACATTCCACAAGCACTAAGGTCTCTGAACTCAGTAAGCAATTTAAACAAACTTTTTAAGCAACAATTATTGAATAAGTACTGATTGTCATCATTTGTGTATGTATGTGTATATGTATATATGTATGTATGTATATTATAATCACCAATCCGCTACTTAATTAACTTTATCGATTTATTGATTCACTTAATTGAAATATTTTTATAACATTCGTGTATATTATTATTATTACTTTATTATTTTTGTTATTACTGTTATTGATGTATTGTTATTGTTGTTATTATCATTATTATTATTATTATTATTATTATTATTATTATTATTGTTATTCTTATTATTATTTGGGCTACATGCTTAAAGTTCTTCTTGTTATGTTTGCCCTTTTCCAATTCCTTTTCTTGTTATGTTTGCCTTTTTCCAATTCCTTTGATTTTGATTTTCAATGTTTACTACTTATCTGTTGTAAATTCTTTGAATTGGAAATAAAATGATTGATTGATTGATTGATGATAATTTCAATAGAAAGTTGATAGCAAATAGTAATAATCTCCGATTGAGTGATAACTCAAAACAGAAATGGCTGCACGAACTTGAATACGAAATAGAATGTGAGAAAATCATAGATCCTTTAAGTGTGATCTCGTACTTGAACAATCATTAATAACATTATCAGATAAAGAAAAAACTGATCTTTG